AACACTGTAACTGTTCATGTAGTTTCTTCTTGGGTCTCTTTCTTTCATGACCCAGGGCAAAGGTTCATAAACATGATGTACCTGCTTTCATCAGTTCATTGTGATAGTAATCCTAATACTACATCATCTACTAAACACTGTAACTGTTCATGTAGTTTCTTCTTGGGTCTCTTTCTTTCATGACCCAGGCCAAAGGTTCATAAACACTCTTCCACAAACTTGCAACAAAGAACTCGTTAGAATCTCTTACATGTCTTCTTAACATTAATATGTTCTGAAAAAACATTATAACTTCAAATGTTGTTCTCCTTCACTCCTCTTCATTTGTCTATTATGCCACAAAATCAGGTGTGTGTGTGAAAAATAGCATTTTAGACCCATCCATTCTTCTCCCACAAGCCATTACCCAATAAGCTTTTTGTTCAATATCAGAACTAATGAGCTGGGTTTGATAATGACAGTCAAAACATTCTATGAAACACTATTTATATATACAGTACACAACCTTAAAGATTACAGTTTAAACACCAAAAACTGGCAAAGCATTGTTGTTTTTTGTTTGTTGATATGTACAGTTACACAATGAGCTACTTGTGCTGTGGCCAACACAGGTATTGAAAACCGATTTTTAGCATTATAATCCTTCAGATTTACTGCTGAGCCATTTGGGGTACAAAGCATTGGAAAACAAGAGGCCTAACATTTGTGATGAAAATCATGTAAACTATAGATGTGTTTTCATATTCCTTTTAATTCTCCACTTCAGATTCCAAACCAGAGGTTTCTAATACTTTACCATTATTTGAAGTATAACTTTTAAAATATTAAACTTCATATATAAATAGTGTTTAATAAAATATTTTATCTTTCATCCTCCAGGCCAACTGGTGAGTTCTGGGACTGAATGAAAAGCTTATTGAGCAACGACTTGTGGGAGAAAAAAAAATCTGAAATGCAATTTATTACACAACTCCGATTTTGAGCTACAATGGACAAATTATGAGGAATTTGGGAGAAATATATATGTAGTTAACTTGTTTCCATAATAATTTTTAGGCCTATGGATTTTATTATATTTTGCCTGCTTACAGTATTTAAGTCATAACTCTTAAAGGAACTGCTTCTGTTGGAACAATCCGGATAGTATCTACTCTCTCTTGTACAAAGACTCTTGCATCTTCTCATTTCTGACAGAAAATGTTGAAGTATGTAGTCACTTTCTCCTAAGATGAACTTGTTTTGCATTTAATCAGTTTCAATACTTAGATCCAATACTTATAAAACACTATCCTCCATCTTTGCTGACCTTGTTGATTATCATTAAATTCCTGACATTCAGTATCTAAAGCCACAATAAATGCAAGATATCTTTGACAATACATTGAAACTTCCATAGTCCGGCTCCTAGACACTACATTTTGGTAAAGTCATACAGATATAGCATCTTGTTATATGGAATTTGAGATTCAAAAATTTTATTAACCATTTCACTATGGCATCATCAGTTTTAAGAACTCAGATTATAAAATGGCTAACAGTTCCTTACAATCGTGCAGTCTGAGATTTTATTGAAGAGTGTATAGAAATAGACATTTTCTTTGATTTTTCATCTTGGAGTTATAATAATACAGCTTCCATTGTAGTAATTGGCATTTGTATTGTTAGTTCACTGGTTAATCATATTTCAGGTACTAGAATTCAGTTTGCTGATAAACTACCTTCTTCTCATGATCTTTATTTTACTGGTATAATAAACTTTCAAGAACCTGATGCTTTGTAAGTTTACATCTATTCTTGATCTGTAAATTTATAATTTTTAGGTTTTTCAATCTACAATTTTTCTGTACGATATTTTAAACTTCTATAATGCCTTGATCAATTTAGCTATATTTTTAGTTGGTCTAACAAGTGATTGTCAGGTACCTAATCACAAAAAACTGACATCTAACTCCATCTCTTCATATCATTAAACTGTTTGATCATATTTCCCATAAAACCATACTCATGATGTCCTACTCCCTTATGGGTTCTTCAGTCAGATGTCTAGCTATAAAGACTGCTTTTTACAGATAAAATAGAGATCTGACTGTAAGTTATGAGAAGGTTCCAGCCAAGAAGTCAACATTGTTATTGTTAAACATGATGCATGGATTAAAGAGCATCAATTCAGTGTTGGTCCTAGTTTTTACAGTTTAAGGGATCTATATCAAAATTAAGACACAATGGAAATTTTGAAAGACACCCTTGAGACATACTGTTTTTATTCTGAAAAGTATTACTAAAAATGAACGGTTATATTTAGTTGTAATAGGATTGTGTTAACACAGTTTTGCTATATACTTCCACATTAAACAAGTTGATGTTACATTTTTACAACATCTTGTAAGTTTCCAAAGAGAAATCTTAAATAACTTCCATGAATGTAGCACATTAAACACGTATAGATGAGCTCTGCTCGACCCAGAGTGCCAAAGTTGGGTACATCACTAGTCCATTGATGTTAACAGTTTGGGGTTTTCTTTGGTTCTATTCAATTAATACAGTAATTTGGTGTTATTTTATTACTACTCAGTATTATAAATGTAAACCATGCTACAAATTCTCTTATCCTTTACAGACTTTCTTGTATGTATAGACTTAGAATAATAAACACAAATACATCTTAAAATAGTCATGCACCTGGCCACAAATAGTGTGGATGGTCCCACAGTTGCTTGCCAATGAAATAGACAAAATTTTGAGTCTCATTTTGGATCTAGTATAATTCTATGCTATTTGCCTTCTGATTGGTCAAAAGTGAAATTTATATAGCCAAGTTTATTACTTAAAACATGTCAGAAAGACTCATTTGGTAAAATATAGGCCTACTCATGGAAATATGCATTTGACAGGTCATACTGGCAGGTATGCCACAGAGTCCAGAATGTACTGTTTTCACGGAGACACACTTAAAAACCCAGTATTCCTGTGCTTTCAGCAAAACTTGCAATATTATCAGTATATACCATTGGCATTTTTTCTATGGTAAGTCAGTGGTAACTGTTGTACTGATTCCACCATCCTGAGCATTTATTATGAGTTGTCTATCAGTAACTTTGGTGCACTTCAGTTGCACAGCAAGTTGAATGTCTTTCCCCAAAGTAACACTTCTACTTAATTCATCTGATAAACTATTTCTTCATCTTAAATGGCTCAACACACTGGTCATGTACCAAATTAATCCAACTCTTTTAGCAAAAATGAGTAGGTCAATTGAGCAAGGTGTTCCCCATCCCCTTAGAAAGCTTTGAAAGATTCTTTTTTTCCAATCCACTCTGTTTTTAATTGTACATTATGACACTTCTTTCTGATGAGATATTCCAAAACAACTAGAAGGAGCAAATTATTTTAATTGTTTTATAGTAATTTTTTTTTCAAGTTGAAATAGAATCTGAAACTGGGCCAGATATGCTTCTCATATGGGTCAAAACTGCAGAAGTAACTTTATAAATCTTGTAGCTCCAGAAATGGTTAAAGTCGTGAATGATAATGTTCGACATGTCAAAGAGGTGAATGCTATTCTAGAAATCATAAATAACGTAAATGAGAAGCTACTGGCTAAATTTCATGGGAACTAAATGATAGTTTCTTTGTTTTGAAACTATCTGTGCTAATCATCCCTAATTTAACAGTGTAAGACTAGAGGGAGGTAGCTAGTCATCACCACCCACTACCTACTCTTGGGCTACTCTTTTACCAACGAATAGTGGGATTGACCGTCACATTATAATACCACCACAGCTGAAAGGGTGAGCATGTTTGGTGGGACGGGGATTCAAACCCATGACTCTCAGATTGTGAGTCGATCACCTTAACTACCTGGCCATGCCGACCCTAACTAAACGAAAACGAGATATAGGTGGACTGAGTGATAACATCCTAATTAGCCCAGCAAGTTGTCTACTCAGTTTTTTTAGTTAAGCCTTTTCTAGTAAAATTGTAACCGTTTATTCATGTCTGTATTGCAGACATATGTTTATCCACTAATACCTCTAACAACGAAGCAGATTTGTTCCATGATGCCACTTCATTGTCAGAAAATTACCAGAAGTAGATATAACACAGGAGGCATAGGGATGTGTTCCAGGACTTCAGAGAAGGGAGTACAATAGGAAAGCATTATTAAATACAAAAAAAATAAGGTTAAAACATGCCTGAAAACACAAAACATGCATTAAAAAGAAATATATATTAAAATACATTAAATAAGATAATAGAATCAATAAAATAACACTCACTAAGTTAGCACTATGTTATCACTACTTACAATTTGCATTTTCGTTTCCAAACAGATGGATTCACGCTGCATTTTTTGCCCAGTGAAGCCACTAGGGCTAGACAGTCATTTGGATGACATAATTGGGCAAATAAAATCTGAAGATTTTTTTTTGTAAAATTAGGGGTGTGAAGGGATCCCCCACAGCCAAATTTATTATAAAGGAGATTTGTTCCCAGAGGATTCGTTAACAAATGTATTACTGTATATGGCAACTTTGTCATCCTGCTTCAATTATTATATATATATATATATGTCATTTTAAACTGAGGCAATATTAGTATCTTTAGTTTCTTCAGCAATTTTGAACCTTTTCTGTACTTAATACCAAAACAGAGACAAGTATTTTAAATGAAAAAATGCATATGTTAAAAATCTTTAGACTTTAAGCATGAGGCTGTATATAATGTTCTTTAATAAATATATGATACTTTAGAAGTCTCACTAATACTACTGTCACAATGCAACACCTCATTAATATATTTATATGTGATAAATGTATTTACTATGTAACATATCAAAAGTTCTTGTGATTGATGGTGTGAAATTCTATATTTGATAACCAAGAGCACAGTTTGCAATCTAATGATTCAATTCTAGTTTGTTGAAAGTCAGTAACGATTCTTTTAGCTAAAAGAATCAATACAAATCTATTATTAATATATAAAAATGAGATGTATAAAGATTTGTTAAAAACAACACAAATATTTATTAAATCAAATGCAGATATAGTACAGGCAAACATACATGTACATACATTGAAACTTTTCTATGAGACAGAAATAAACCGAATACCTGACAAATTAAAGATATCTTTTCACACATCATAATGTCAGATTCTAACTATTTTGAATAAGTCACCACAGTTTATGGGTTCCAAAACCTATTATTTTCAACATGTTTCTTTGTATTGGACTGCTTTAGATGGGAAAGATCAAATTTCTATCAAAAATTATGACATTAACTTAAAGCAAAGTCAAGACACTACAGGATGTTATCAGTGATGAGTATAACTGTGTAGTAAAAAGCATGGTTATTGATAATGCTAGAAATATGGAAAATATAAAAAATGCATTGAAAGCAGATGATGATCTTGTGGTGTATATGTGTGTTCTGCACACATGTTGAATTTATTGGAACAGGATATTACTCTGCAGGGTGTTGTAAAATATATATATATATATAGTGGGAATCCGTAAGTATATGAAATACCACCACAAGCCTAAGGCCTGAAGATGCAAGGTGGAAAAGACAGCCTTGACATAGCCCTTCACAACATGGTGTTTCTGATGCAGACAGTAAAAGGACATGAGTATGAGACAGATGCAGCATTGGAATGAATTATAATGGATTACAACTCGTACAAAAAGAGAGACCTGCTAGAGTAAATTTAACCCATTGCAAATGCTACTAATCAATGCTAAAGTGGAAGCCTGTCATCCCTGGACTGATCTTTTAGTAACTCCATTCTTAAGCCCTACACAAAAGCTGTCACTGGTTGCTTTAACCAGATTTTAAAGCTTGAACATTTAATGACCCACTAATGATACTCAAAATATGTATGAGAAGAGCTCAATCCTGAACAGCTTGAGACTGTCAACATTTAGCTCATGAACCCTACATCAATTACCACCCTTACTGCCTTTGAGGCCAAGAGGTCCCATTTCTCAGCCTCCTTTTTTACAGAGTCAGCCATTCAACCCAACCCTGTAACCTGGTAGAGAGATATAAAGGCATCTGGCATTTGATCTGAATTTGTGGATAATGCCCTTCAGCTGCTGGGTACACCTGCCACTTCTACACCCACTGAGTGCATATCTAGTAATTTCAGTCATATTCATAACAAAGTAAAAAACAGACTGGATATCAAAAAGGCTTCAATGCTTCTTTATTATTAAATGCTGTGAGGAGAGCACAGTACTGATTACTAAGTTTTACTTCGTTAGGAAATTACCCAATCGAATGAAACTTGCAGAAATATAAATTTTATGATTAACTTGCTCATCAGGAAGTTAAATTAAGAACATATTTCATTTGGAAAGAAATATTTTTGATCTCCTTACACTGTAAGACTGGTCACCCAATTACTATGTCAAATAAATGAATTAAGTTGAAAATAACTTTCTGTTAAAGTTTCATTTTTACTGATGATTCCTTTTAAAAGCAGGCTGAAAGCTAGAATTATTAAAAACATAAATCATGGTTGATAAGCTATTTTCATTACAACTTATAAGCACTGTTTCATTAAGATATCATCACTAATTTCAAGGCTAGGAGAAATCTTCAAATTTTTTACCCTTTGTGGAAAGTAGCTTTACAGCAAACATAATAATAATCAGCAGATGGCAACTACGTTAAAAAAAAGCTTTGAAAGAAAAATATGCTAGTGAAACTGTGAAAGAATGAGGTTTTGATTCACTATACATAGCAATAGGTTTTTCAAAACTTCAAGAAAATACACATTAGTGGAGAGAAAAATTATCCATATATTATTTTACCAGCACACAATCCACCGAAGACCTACGTCAAAAGTAAGGAGCAAGCTACGATAACAGAGTCAACCTGAAAAACTTTACACTGTTAAGGTCTGAATAATGTTAAAATTCACTAAAAGCACAGCTTTAATGAACAGGTATCCTTTTACTGAGTGTGTATGATATACCTGTATGAAGAACAAACATAAAACCAGAAAACTCATCTGATATTTGAATCAAGATTAATGTTGGATTATTTACTCTAAATACATCCTAATCAAATTAAAATTTTACATCTGACAGTTAAGTGCTCGTCAACAAAAAGCAAAATGAAAGATCAGGACAGCAGGTAAGTAAAATATGTTAATTTGCTGAGAGCAAATTTGTAGGATTCTATAAAAATAGAGTTAAGCAAAAAAAAAAAAAAGATGAATCCACATAACACTAATATTTTATTTTACTTAATACTATTAAGCATAAGAATCAAAGACAGAGAAGTGATGGTTTATGCTATGCAAGTAAACTTCAAACATATTTTTACTTTTTTTTTGCATTCACTGTAGCTACTGGGAAAATTAGTACAACTGTGAAATCATAATTTCAAAGAATTAGATTTACACCAGTACTTTTGTATACTTTTACCCTTTTGTACATTTACAATTACAAATTTTTGTGAACATAAAAAATAAAAGGATTTAGTGATTTTGACTATGATGTTTATAATTTCATTTCTGCTTGAATTAACAGTAGCAAACACTGATATCACACATCTCTTTTAAAGTGAGGCTCTGAGAAACCTCAATGTCACATTTGGATCTGGAAAAGTTGCTTAATGTCTCAGGTGCTGTTTGTCTAATACACCTGACCTCATGTTGTATTAATGATATTATTATTCTGAGGTACTGGGTGATGGTGACTCAGGCTGGATATTTACAATGCTTTACCTAACCAAAGAACTTATCACTCTGTTGTGGTGGTCCATTCTGACCAAGAGGTCCAATCATAGGTCGCTTCCATTTTTCTTGCTGATGAAATTCTGTCATGGGTCTCCCTCCAATTCCACATGTGCCCACTCCCACTCGACCATTGATGTTGTCTGGAGTAGCAAAAATACTCTTTTTGACCTGGCCTTTCTTGTTTTTGGAAAAAGCCTGTAAGGATAAATTGAATCAGTGTGTAACTCAATGAAAAATTGCTGTGCTTACAAAATTTATATAAATATTTTAGTAATCATAAAAAAATACAACAGATTTTTTAAGGAAAGTTATTAGTATCTTGAAAATATTAGGATTTATCTACCATAGAAGAAAGGTCCACCTTTCAACGAGCTTGGGTTATAGTGTACTGTATCTTTGTTCTGAAGGTAGGTGTAGGCTTTATTCTCATATAAAAGTGAAAAATGTTACCTTTGTAGTATGAAACTTCTATAAATACTGTTTATTTCCAAAAGAAAATTACTAAAATCAGTAAGCTAAGATTGGCATTCTTTTTTCTTAATAAAATGCCAAAACATTTTATAGATATATAACTTGTTAATAATTCCAATATTCATGCAAGGGAATAAATATTGGTTTAGACTATAAGTGAGGCAGTGGATAAACATTTACATATAAATGGTGTTATATACACACTAAAACAAATTCCTTTTAACTGCTATATTAACCACCAAAAAAAAAAGTTTTAAACTTAATCAGGCATATAAGAAATCTTAACATTCATATTCGTTCAAAGAAAGGAGATATGCTTCTGGAATGAGTATTAACAATGAAACATCTCACCAAAATAAATACTACTGGGACTATATGTGCGTGTGTCTCACCAAAATAAATAATACTGGGACTATATGTGTGTGTATCTCACCAAAGTAAATACTACTGGCACTATATGTGTGTGTGTTACTGGGACTATATGTGTGTGTGTGTGTGTATCACCAAAATAAATACTACTGATACTATATGTGTGTGTGTGTCTCACCAAAATAAATACTACTGGGACTATATGTGTGTGTGTCCCACCAAAATAAATACTACTGGGACTATATGTGTGTGTATCTCACCAAAATAAATACTACTGGGACTATATGTGTGTGTGTCTCACCAAAATAAATACTACTGGGACTATATGTGTGTGTGTGTGTATCACCAAAATAAATACTACTGGGACTATATGTGTGTGTCTCACCAAAATAAATACTACTGGGACTATATGTGTGTGTCTCACCAAAATAAATACTACTGGGACTATATGTGTGTGTGTGTCTCACCAAAATAAATACTACTGGGACTATATGTGTGTGCGTCTCACCTTAGAATTGAACTGTTGCCATTTGGACTTTTCTTTTTCTCTATCTTCTTCAATCTGCTTTAACCTTTGAGCTTTTTTCTGTGCCTTCTTTTTTTTATACTCTCTTTGGGCTTTAATTATCTGTTTCCTGGAAACCAAACAAATATTACTGAGATTGTAATATAGGAACAATTCAACAATACTTTTATCAATAAACTCATCACAGTTACTGAAATGTACAATGGTAAAACATACTGAACTTTTTTTACATTGCTCTATGTATGTCAAAACAACTTTCATATTAAATTAATCACTATGAAGATTTTTTTCACTGTTTGGACCAATTGTTTTCCTGATCTGCATGATAATATTTTAAATTTTTCCAGTCCATACCACTGTAATTGTCAAAATGTTATTATGCAGCAAAAGCCCTTCACCAATAGAAGGATGACACACCTCCTTCAGTACTACCTCCATTTATTCTTTTGCACTCATGAATCTTCACTCTTTGACAAAGCAAGGAATACTACAATGCAATGGAAGTGGAGAGGATGAGTGGGAATGTGTGTGAGAGGTGAGTATATATATATTGGAAATACCTTTTCAGGTAAGAAATATAGTAACTTCCAAGATGATACACACCTCTTCACACAATTAAGCTAGAGTCTCGTGTTGATGTGGTAAGGGAGCTGGTGCAAAGATTAACCTGGATGAGTTAACTGTAGAAAGCACCCCCTATGGGTTCCATAGGGACACACCCATGGAAAACTGCATCTCATCTCTTCCAGGGTATACTCTTCCCAGAAAAAAGAGAGGAAGAGATAAAAAAGTCCCATGTGTAACAAGGATGGTCCTAATAACAACATGGCCATCCAAGTACTTGCACACAAAAGGTCAGAGAGCCAATATGTATAGTGTGGTTAAGGCACATTCAGACTGTAAGGCACAGAATTAATATTATAGTGTATGAAATGGTATATGTACATGCCTTGATTCAACTAAACAGACATCAGATACATAATTATACCATAAGAATACGTCAAGTGGTCTTGCATAACACACTATCTCAACAGGGAGCATAAATGGAGCCAGAGCAGATGGTATGAGCACTCTCCATTATCCTGGCTCAATGCAGAATTTCAGGAAATAAGTATACTTTGGGAGGAACTACCAGTTATCTGTACTCAACTGTCTAAAGATGATTGGTAGACTGTATGATGGCAAATGAAGGCAGGCAATACCCTTCAGGAGACGAGACAGTCAGATGGTGAAGATAGTTGAAGATTTAGGGAGGAGGGACTGGTCAGGATAAAGAATATAAGAATGATAGAAAGAGATACAGGAAGAGTCAACAGCATAGGTATCCGACTGATGGCAACCACAAGAAAGAAGTAAGAGGAAATATGATTTAAGGGAAAGGTGATATATGTTCCAGGTTGCCAACAGCCTGAGACTGAGGGGCACCAATAAGTGTGTGAAGGACAACAATGAAGTTCCAGTTAGGTATGGGAACAGGGCAAGTGGGTCTATGGATAAGGAAGGACTGGAACAAGGTGGTGAAAAACTGGAAAGAAAACACCTTGTGGTACTGAGAAAGGCAAAATGTTGTAGACAAGTCTACTAGATAACCAGCAGTGGTGAAGACAGTTGATCCACTGTTGTTTGGCCAGGTAATAAGAGAGATTGGTGATGGTAGGATGGTCAGGAGAAAGGTGATTATGTATAGGCCAATGTCAAAAGACATGCCACTTATGCAGGTAGACCGATAAGGTAGAAGGATGACAGAAATGGGAAAGAAAAGGCTATCTGATTGGAAAGTCCAGTTCAATGGGTAATGGAAAAGGTAAATCCCAAACATAAGGGTGGGGGGTCAGGATCCTGTGATGGAACAGTGATGTGTGAGGTCAAAGCAGGAAAGAGAGAGAGAGTATAGTTGGCAGGGGAAGAAAGGGTTGGGTTGACAGGTGGCATAGAAGTTGAGCCAGCCAAAAGAAGAACTGGTCAGAATAAGGAAGAATATAAGAATGATTGAAATGGGTACAGAAAGAGTTGACAGCATAGATATCTGAATGACAATGACTACTGGCAAGAACTAAGAGGACATGACAAGGAGTGTCTCAAGTTAAGGCCAAGATCTGAGGTAAAAAATAGAGAGGTGGGTAAGCATGATGAAAAGGATGAGACTAGTCCTGACTAAAGGCATTGACAAACAGGGCCGAGTGATGGGGAACTAGTGATCAAAAGAGAGATAGTTGAAAATGAAAGGGGTGGCAAGGCATAGATGAGTGGAGTCCTCTGTGGAAAACCTGGGAATGAAGAGATCATTCTATGAGCATAACACAGTCCAGCCAAGAGAGGCAGTCCAGAACCAGGTTCACAGCACCTGGAATATGGCAAGCAATGAGACAAACCCATTGAGAATTGGCCAAACAAGATCGAGGGTTTGAAAGTAAGGGGTCCTGGATCAGGTTCCCCCTTGGCAGTTGATATAGGAAAAACCAAGGAGTTGTCAGAATGGATCATAATCAAAAGATACACTAAGAGGGGTAAGAAATTGGAGCATGCCCCATGGACTCTTGGATATTTGAGTGCATTGATGTGGGTCCATGTGAAAGTGTCATTCAGAGATGCTCCTAAACCAGAGGGGGAAGCATTGATGAAAAACTGCAGGTACAGTTTGGGTGAAGGTAATGGAACACCAATGGGGATACTGGATCGCTCCAGCCACCAACACAATTCCTCAACTAAAAATGGACACAGGTGAACCATTGAGGTTAAAGTTTCCCATGAGAGGTTCCTCTGGTCATACAAGAACCTACAGGGAAGGTGCAAATGTGTGCAACCCAAAGGGATAATCAATTTCAATGAAGCGATGATCTCCAAACATTAAAAACCTCTCACATAGTATAAGTAGGATAGGCACAAATCCTGATGATCAGTAGTTCCATAGCTTGCAGGCAGATAGGAGGAAGTTGAGCACAGCTGAGAAGTAAGTTGAAAAATACTCCCAGTTACATAACATATTGAGTTTGAGTGAGGAAAAATTTTGGAAGTGTGGCTGAAAACATTGCACACATATGGGATTGGAAGGAGGAAAGGAAACATGAGAAGGAGAAGAGAATTGGAGAAAAAGTTTGTAGGCAAAAAGTAGAGTAATCCCTGAGCAGATGGAAATTGTGACCACAGAAACTCAAATCACGACAGCTGGGCACCCACAGGACCCAACTCAACTTAATCATCACTGACGAATCTGATGTCAGGTAGAAGAGGAAAGTTGAGAAATGGCAATCCAAAGATAGGAAAGTTGATGTACAATGTTGGAGGGTTGGGTTTCCTACAGTGTGGAAACAAAATAAAAAAACAAAGACTGATGAAAGACAGTCTCCGCTTGTGATTCAATCAAATCAGGAATACCCCCAAAACTTCAGAGTAAAGAAAGGGGCCAGGCAAGGATCTCATAAAAGGGAAGAAAGAAGTCAAACTTGGAATAAGAGAGTATTTCTACCTAACAATTCCCAGCAACAAAGAGGTGAGTGAGCATGGAAATGGTAGAAGTGGAACAAGTCACAGTGGAGAAGTGACCGGAATGAAAAATTGCCCACATATTTCTCTTGGTACAGTGGAATGCCTCAGGCTTGAGGTGTAGAGAGGAGAGGTAAAGAAGTATAGTAAAAAAGATTGGGCAAAATCAGAGGTATTGGGCACTGGAGGGTGAAATCGATGCCATATAGTCCACCTCCTAAAGAAAAAGAAAACAGGCAAGGGCAATCCCAAACATGAGAATCATGAAGGTGGATTTAGATTGACTAAAACTAAGGATATGAATCAGTTAGGCAGGGAGGGTGAGGCCTGATGTTACAGGAAAGTAATTGGTCAAGGAAAAGGTAAACAAAATTAGTCAGGGTTAGGATTAAGAAGTAGGGAACAAGAAAAATATAACAGAGAGGAAGGAAAAAGAATGGTGCATACCTGTGAAATTAAGTCAGGATAATGTGAGAAAGTTTAAAGTTTCTCTTCAACACGGAGAGAAGTTCCCAAATCATAACCAGGAGAAAGAAATGATCAAATTTGTCCTCCTCATTCTCCCCTCAAAATGAGAGGAAAGAACACCTGAAGAAGGGACTGAGATGAAGCTCCTAGCTGCATAAAGGAACCTATTACCTATGCACAAACTGCATTAAATTGAAAAGTGAAAACCACATCTGATGTGTTCAGTGCCAAGGAAAAACATGAATATTCATGACTGTAAGGGCATAGAGGGAGTTGGTGTAAAAGGAGCTGTGCTGTCCTCTCATTGGTGAAAGGCTTGGAAGGCTTTTCCTTCATGATAACGAAAAATCTCATGAGATTAGGTGGAATTTGTCTTTAAGGCAGACACACAGGGAAGATAGCTTAATTGTGTGAAAAAGTATGAATTGTCTCAGAAATGGGTAAAGGCAATATTTTGTTTAAAGTCCTGGATTTACCAGAATCAAGTTATTATTTTTTCTGAAAAAAAGGCAAATAAAACATTACAAGTTTGTACTTATTTGGACTTTAAAGCAGTCTCACCACCACTTTCTACATAAAGAGTGCCACTCAGTGGCTTCAACTTTGACAACTGAAAAATAACCAATTTCAGTACTTACTTGGATTTTAAAGCAGTTTCCCCACCACCTTCTCCATCGAGATTTCCAATAACTGGCTTCAACTTTGATAACTGAAAAATTAATATAAATATTAAGAGAGGAGCTAGTTTCAAAAAATTGTTTCTCTTACAACAAGGTATGATCTTTGTTTTCAAATCTTTAAAATTGGGCTTTAACTTTGATAACTGAAAAATAAATACAAATATAAGAGAGAAACTAATTTCGAAAAGTTGTTCATTTTAAAACAAGGCATGTTCTGTGTGTTTGTCAAATCTTTAAAACTTGAGTCATATTTGTAAAATTTAAAAATTCAAAGATGTATACTTGCTGCATTAATAAGAGAATAGTATGCTACGTAGGCCAATGTAGAATAAAACTACAAACTGTGTGTGAATAAACAATCATTACTAATAGTCAAGTGTGCATGTTTTAAGGAATATTTGGGATTTATAAGTTTTAACTCTCTCACTACCAGCTCAGTCCCAGGTATTGACCTCGTAACCATGTTGTGGTTGTTATAGTTTTCCTACTATAACTTTTAATACAGTATGCATATCTTCATGAAATTTGGCAGATTATCAGTAAATGTTACAAGGCTTTCATACACAAAATATCAGATATTTTTATTAAAGTTTAAAACTTTTTATGCAATGATTTGCTTGTCCATTTTTTCTTTTCAAATGTTGACTATCTAACATCCAAAGTAATTTTGATTATGAGATTAAAAATACTTTTATGCAACAGAAAATTATAAAATTTCATATGCAAAATATCTATAACCTTCAGATAATTGTAAATTTTTTTATATTTTATCTGTTATTTTCACTATTGTATCTCTGTGTTGGTTTGGTCGAGTTGACTGATCTTGTAACCACCATAAAAAGCTTGTGCAATTTGTGGAAAGTGAGTCGTGCATTTTACTTGTACAACAATACATGTGGTAACTCTGAAATTTCTAAACATATCCTCTCACAAAGGGGTAAGATTTTGTTAAAGATCATATGTATCTTGTACACAAAGAATGATGTTATTATAATTGTGTTTTTCTAAAAATATATTATTTTTCAATTTAGTTACTTGCACTCAAACTGTTAACAAAGCAAGTGCAATATGATTTTCATTTTAAGTATAAAATAGTTTTCTTTGTCTTATAATTTTCATATTTCACTTGTGTAATCTCTAGAACCTCCTAAAAGACATCAAAAGTTTTTTTTAAGGTAAATGGTTAAACAGTATAACCTTCATTAACAGGTACCTTAAAACAATGGGCACCACACCATTAAGAGCAGACTCTTTCTTTTTTCTAATATTTGTAACCAAAATAAATTTTGCAGTAACGGGCACCTCAATATTCCAGATTAAGAACAGTGTCTTTAGTATTGTTCTCTATACAGGCACTCAATAAAGTGGGGAGTTATCTTTGTATGCATGTACAGTGTCAAGCTAAATTACAAACATTCCAGAAAGATGACTGATATTTAAACACTTTAAACCCATATACTGTAATAAACATTTTTATACATTCAAAATGCAGTCTAAATACTCTAGGGAATTCTGGTTGTAAACACTGTAGGATACACAAGTTGATAAGTTCCACATCATGTTCTTGGAGTAGGGGTCAAGTTGGCTTATTTCTGTGTATGTGCTTTGTTGCTCTTGAGACTATCGTATTATGGAGTCATGTAAACAGTCTAAAGACACAAGCAGTGATTTGTTGCTTTATTTTCAGCAGATTTCTACTTCAGTTGTTGACAGTAAAATAAACAGATAATAAATGTGAAATTTTAGCAGTTCAAACTCTGAAGATAAGTACTTTGAAACTTTGTGATCAATGATAAAGAAAACAGGGCACAGCTAATCCACCCCCTGAGACCTCCATGTTATGGCAATGTACAACTCACAAACACCCATGTTCTGCATACACCATACAAAATGGGGGGCCTTAAAGTTCAGAAATTTAGTATGGTCAATATGGAATCCAGCTATGTATGACTCATTTTATATATTAAGGGCATCTTGCTATAGAGGGCAATATATTTTTCATCTTTTCTACCATATTACTAACTCTAGCTATTATCATCAACGTACAATGCAATGAAATAATTAAAATTAGGAAAGAAAAAAAATACATACCTTTTAATTTTTTTGAAGAATATCTTTAAAGATTTTCCTTTTGTTAAATTTGTAATTTCACGTCTTTTCCGTTTCACATGTAGTTACTTTTTAATGTTTTATTTTCCTTTCTTGTCCTTTACAACTTATTATTCAACACGACACAAGCAAACAATGCCCTTAATGCATATTACAGTTTCTTTGGCAAAATTTTCCTTCAGCACATAATATCATAAGCCTTGAGAATAGACGCAAACTATGATGTGCATTTCAAAAATATTTAAACTTTTAATTATTCATTTTAAAACATAACTAATACATAATTAACTAAGATATAATAGTAAGACTTAAGCACAATTTAAACTGTATCTCTAGCTATAAGATATTTAGTTGATCAAGTAGCCAATTTCAAAATAACTGTTGTCAGATTATAGTGTAAAATGAGCTTTTTCTAATGACTATACAAATGTGTATGTAACATCTAAATGTAGGCTATAAAGCTCAAACAAATTTGTTGAAGGTGGACGTGGCCCGTTTCAGGGATATAAAAACTTTATTACTTGTTTTCACTGTATTCAGTCAGGGAAGTTTGAAATCTATGAGTCCATAGGTTATGTAAGTATCTTATTGTCTAGACGTACCTCTACTCAACTACAATTGTATTACTGAAGATACAGAGAGCCAAAGTAGAGAATGTTCATAGCTCGTTCGTTATATGACAATACATCTGAAGTTTTAAGAAGTTTTTAAAGGTTTATTTTGAAATAAAGGACTTAAATCTTAGATAAAACTTCCAATTAAAACATACATAATGATATTCATTTTATTCATGTACTTTAATAGTAAAGGTGTTTAATTAAATTTTGAATGTAACATAGTGACTTGTGGGGGAAAAGCATTTAAAGGGGCACTCTTGCAAAAGGGTTAAATGAGATTTTAACATTCACTTCAGTTTGAAGTACTCTTGTTTTATATTATGGATTAACTTCCATTATTCTATAACACCTATATTTATACATTTTACAATTACTAACACACACACCTATAACTATACATATATATATATATATATATATGTATTTATTTTTTAAGGCTAAGCTTAATCGGGTAAATAGTGTTCTATGGCTAGTGCAAATCATGTGTGATTCCTTGTAAAATTAACACATACACTTGCAAATTCTTAAAATTTAACATTATATACACCTGGAAAAAAGTTAAGCACCCCCGTGTTTTTTTCAAGTGATTCAGATTCAACGTTCTTGTGACTGATTATAAATTACCATTCAATCTAAACGTGTTTATCAAATGAAATTATGCATTATTGGGTACAAGAAAACAAGATTATCACCGTAAAATAACAATTTTTAATTTACATACCATGACATCAAAATATGGACAGTTTTCAAGCTTAAAATTATCTTTAATAAGTATTGTCAGTGAAAGCTCAAATGCGTTATTGAATTGTCAAATCACATTACAAAATGTCAATCATGACCCACACATTGATAATTAGTCATCGAAAAGTCAATATCGGGTATATCCACCGCTTGCTTGGATGACTGCTGCAACCCTGCGCCGCATACTGCCAGTTAGACGTCTGATTTGTTGAAGCGTTATCTGTCGCCATTCTCGGTGCAAGTGAGCTTCTAACTGTTGCAATGTCTGTGGAGGAGGCTCCAAAGCCTGTATTCGCCTACCCAATTGGTCCCAGATGCTCTATAGGGTTGAGATCTGGACTTCTTGCTGGCCAAGGAAGAGTGTTGACGGATTCATTCTCTAAATAAGCCTTTACTTGTCATGTCAAGACCTTTATTCATGGGGCTAACGTGTGGTTGTCA